CAAAAAAATAATTAAAAAAAAAAAATTTTAGTGAGAGGCTGCAGCAAATGCAAATAAGTAAGAGATATTCATGTTCTGCTCACAAAGCAGCATCAAGAGAGATAATTTTGTAAAATTGGAGAGCAAGAATTTCCAAACCATGGGAATAACCATTATGTAACAAAATTTTACCCTGCAAGACAGGTGCGCTCAGAAATAGATTCACAGTTTTTTCTTTGAGACACATAGACTGGGGCTCCCTTCAGGTGTGCATACCACATTTCTGTGAAAAGCAGAATACAATGAAAGCAACGCACAGAGAGAAAACTTCTTACACCCAAGTCTTATCCCAAGAGGAAGACAGGGTTCAAGAGATAAACAATTTTGTCTACTACAGAATAAGCTCCATACATCTATAAACAGAGTTAATAAACATTTAAAGTTATGTGTAGTTGATAAAAGCACTCTTCTGATTTGGTTTTGGGTCATCTGGGCCTGTAGTGATAAGACAAAGGGTACCGAGTTTAAATTGGAAGCAGGAAGAAGATTTAGATTGGCTCTCAGGAAGAAGTTCTTCACCCAGAGGGTGGTGATCTTTAAGGTCCCTTCCAACCCAAACCGTTCTCTGACACTGTGATCTCTTTCTATACTCTTAAAAGTTCGGTAGAAGGCCACTGAAATTATTTCCCTGGACAAAATACAGTGCCCTCTTGATAAAAATATTAGAGACATAGGAAATGTGATTAAGTATTGGGTTTGCTATTTTGCAAATCTAAAATATAAATAAACTGCAAAACTCTTCGCCGCATTAACATTTGTCATGGGTTTCTGAGACATAGCACACGTAAGGAGAAGAATGGAGACACAGGCATCATCGGGGAGATAAGGCTTCTATAGGTGTGAATCTGAACTTGAAAACCTGTAAGGGGTGTGATTCCTCATTCTATGATATTACTGTGAGTTTTTTCCTCTATTTCCTTAAATTCAGAGTCCTACATTGTGCTAACTCTCCTGTCAGCTAGTTTCTGTGGATTCAGTATTTATGGACCTAACAGCACAACAAAGACATCGTTATGTTCCTTATGCCTGAGAATCCCTAAAGAGAAACACCTTGTTCTTTATAACTACTACATATTTCAGTGCAGTTCTTACAAGATGCAGGACATATTTAACAATATAACGCACATGGCGCGAGTCTGTACTGGTGACCACATACCTGTTCAGAATGAAGAGCTCATATTTCAAACCCACGTGAGGAGATGATCTGATCATATAACTGTTCTTTACTGCTCCACTTACACAGTGTAATGGAATACAGCTTCTCAGATGTTTTATCACATAGGCCATTTGGACAACATACAGAGTCTATCTTTAATCTCTGACAGCAGACCAGTATCAGCAACAGGTATTTAGATTTTTATTGAAAACTATGTTACTGAATGACTTTAAATTGCTTTGAAGATAATGCACATTTATTAATCAGGTAACAGAAGCAGCTGAGTAGGAAATAAAAGCTTAGGTGGACTTCAGCTTTAGCATTTCTAGAATTTAATTTAAGATGTTTTACCTTATTTTACTTATCATGCCTTCCGCTTATTTCAAGAAAAATTTAATGCACTGGATTGAACCTGTAATATATTAATCAAACAATTGCAGAATAATCCATTCCTAAAATACTCTGTTTCAACAATTCCTGCATATATCTACCCAACAAATTAGCCCTTTCTGCTAGTGGTGCCATTATTCCAGAATACCAAAGCAAAATTTGGGAGACCACACAAAGACACCTGTCTTATTGACTTTTACTATCTTGGAACTCCTGCATTACAATAAACTGTTTTTAATTGCAATTGTGTCTTAGGAATACGCATCTTTAATTATGAACTTGATCAGTTAGACTGACTGATGCTGCATAAACCTGGAACAAAGGGCACCATTACTCCTCTCATCTGCCTTTTCTCAGCTAATCAGTTGCTAATCTTGTACAGACAGTGAAATAATTTACTTGTTTTCATTTTTATTCCTGTAAAACTCACTTTAGCAGTGGCTAGAAAAATGTACCTTTTTAAATCTAGATGAGTAAGGGAAATGCATTTTAGTAGATAACTTCTTTTTTTCTAGCATCTAATCATTTCCATTTTGCAAATGTGGGTCTTAGTACTGCAAATACCATACACCTAAGCTGTATATGCTACAGCGTGGTAACCACTGACTGTTTTAAAGGACCATTTCTATAGAAATACCCTCTTCCCCATATGCACAGCACACACAATACTCTAAGCATTCTGAGTGTTGAGCACTGTGCAATTCAGCACATCTTCTTCATAAAATTAATTAAAAACCCAAAAATATTTCCCTTTTTTGTTAGATATTTAGGAAGATCAGTTAGCTCTATCAGTATTATTGTTCCTCCTGAAAAAATTCAAACACAGAAAAATCTGGGGTTTAGTCCTTTTGTACATAGAATATTCTGAGATGGGCCTAGGACATGAGCTTCAGTTTTTTCTTGCAAATTATCTGGTTATGCTTTATTTCCGCAACTTACTAGGTACTTTCCAATGTAGTCTTTCTTACTTTTCTCCATGCTAAGAAGAAACAACCATGCAGCAGTTATAAAAAAGGAAGAGATCGAGAGTTTATTTGGAACTGTACCAAATAACAAAATAATTTCAGCTGGAAAATCAAAGACACCTATCCTTTTTAGTAGTGCTCACCAATGAAAATTTAGAGACAAATCTGTGTTAACAAATAGCATAATATGCTTAAATAATTTACGTTTTATCACTTCCCCAGTTACAGGACTATTACAAAATTTTAGATTTCTCTACTTCAATGTGCACATTTGAATGTATTTCACATTTAATAAAGGACCATAAATTTAATAGAGATTTCATTTAAGTTGATTTAATGTAACATACCTAGTGGAAATATGTTATGTATTATGCTATTTAAAATTTCTTTGGTATAACATAAATTCACACCTCTGTTAACTCCTCTAAGACACATTTACTTTATAACTATGATCTTGACTTACAAAACTGAATCTACAGTGTTGAATGCTAAAGCTGTATTTGGGTATTTAAAATGTAAATATGATAAAAATTAATTACTACATCAGCTTTTTGTATGCACTGCTGTTATTCTTAATAGCTTGACTATAGAAGAAGTAGTGGGCAGGGTAGATAATCAAAATTAAACCCATGCATTAGATATGAATGAATGTGATTTAGTAAAATAAATTTTGACACAGCAGGTGTTTCTTGTCAGTTCAATGAGTTTTACTCAGGGGATATCACTTCTGGCAACAATCTACATGCTTCAAATGATAATATGCTTTACACACAACTTTTTTTTGTCTGAATTCATGCAAAGTGTGCTAAGAACTCTACTTCTGATTTTTCATAGTTTATGGCATTTAATATTGAATTTTAAGACTTTTTATGCCATGCATTCTGTAAGACTGAAAAAATAAGCATTTCTTTGCAAAGTTAATATATGCTTCTAATGACTTGAGTAATACCTGATCTTAATTAAACACTTATTTAAAAGTATATGGTCTCATTTTTAGCATATTCATCCAGTCCCAACAAAATATCAGAGTAAACCAACAGACAACCTGAGTGCCTATGAATACCTTGTATAAAGGTACTCCACAAAAGAAACATCAAAAATCTAGATTCAAGGAGAGGTATTTAAAATAATTTTAAATATATAAACACCGATTCTTAGCTTATAGGTGATTCAACACAGACAGATCAGAAAGGAAGTGTGTCTCAGATTTGAGGCCAGCACATCAGGGCATTTTGACAGAATAGCTTTTATAGATGTATTCAGAGAGTAATGAAGTCACTGAATATAACAGCGAAAAGCTTTATGCCCACACACCAAAGAGGTTATTTCCTTCACTGGAACTCAAAATTTCAGTATTTGCAGGCAAACGTTTACTCTTAGAAAGTTTTGAACAAAATAATTTGAACAGTAATTTGTTACTGAAAGGTTAAAAGATATTTTCCATTATCAGTAGGTTATCCTCAACAGCTCATTAGCACTGGACTACAGCAGAATGGAAATATTGCAAAGAAGCAAAATAGATAAATGAAAGCTATGTAATTTAGATATAAAAATTACTCCCTTTTCCTTCTGGTTCAAATTATTATATGTGGCTCAAGTGTACCCTTGTTCAAACCATTGCAATAGAAGCTATTTAGTTTTAGTTTCAATCTTAAAATCTCACTTTTCCAAATCTCTCAGATTCTGAGAAAGTCTTAATGAAACCTGAATGAGAATAGGAAGCATTTTTTTTTCCCAGTTACCATAACCAGATAAAATTTATTCAGAAAAAAATTTTAATAAAATGCCCTTGATTAGTATTTATACTAGGGCTTTTGCTGGTTCATACACACATGCATGAGGTACAGATATGTGCAGGAATGTGAATATTAAAACAGATTGTATTTTACTATCACAGTAAGTCACAGTCAGCTAATATGAAAATAGCCCAATAAATTACTTTCCCTTGTTTTGTACTAGTTTCAAAGAAAAGAATGTTTTTAAATCAACTAATACCTCACTCATACAGAAATTTTTATCCATTGTTCTCTTTCAAGAATTTGCACCTAACAATTCAAATTGACATGAATCAATAACCATAGCTTTGACAGTCCACCATTTCACCTCAAATAGAAGGGAAAAATGATTGGAGAGTGAAAGGCCTGTTCCATGCTTCATGGGGAGGGTAAGATTTTTGCAAGCACCCAAGAGAACTGGATGTTTAGCTCAATTTGGATGCTTTTGTTAATTCCATTAATAGACTATCTGACTATTAAAATTTCACAAAGGATGCATAAGACTGGGGTTTCTTTTCTAGTTCAGTATGGTACAGAATGGCAGATGAATTAACAGGTACAAGCAGAACCCCATATTGCCTCATTTTTATATTTACTTCAGTCATCACTATTTGGTATGTTTATCAATTTGCAGATGACTTAGAATTTATTTGCATTTGTTTGATTTTATTGTAGTTGGATACACAATGAATGATCTCATTTTTGAATGGCAAGAAAAGGGAGCAGTTCAAGTAGCAGAAGGTCTCACTCTGCCACAGTTTCTGTTGAAAGAAGAAAAGGATTTATGTTACTGCACCAAGCATTACAATACAGGTAGGAAAGCGTATCAGTGATTAAAACTGGACAGACATTGAACATTGATTGTTATTTTGGAGAGTTGTTTGGGGTTTTTAAATATTCTCACTGCAATCACAGGATGATTAAAACATACAGGTGCATTGTGCAGGACAATGCAGTCTTAAATAACTGACACAGCAAAACAAAGCTGCCTGAAAACTGACCAAACTCTATTTCAGTAAACTTAGGAAAATACATAGTTCAAATAATTCAGAAGCAATTCAATCAGGAGTTTTATTTTTGAAGCAGGTGCCATGACCACATCTACACTGTGGGATCTGAAGCATCTGCTGAAATTCAGAGGTCCATATGCTGTGCTTAGTGCATGGCCTGTCTGAGTCAGGAAAAAGGGTACAAGGCTGCCAAGCCAGCTATCCCTGTTTTGGTTCATAGAGCAAGGGGGCAATGCAAACCAGCTGAAAGCATCCTTAATGTGCGATGGCCAGGTGTTCAAACTATACGTGGCCTTTCTCAGTTGAAGCCTTTGTAGAACTGCAATGTTTAGCTCATCATCTCTGGGACTATTTGAAAAATGGGAGTTTTAACATCAGTAGTATAGTTATTTTATTTTTAATTGTAAAAAATTATCTCAGTAACTGGACAATCACAAGCATAGTAATCCTCATAAAACCATGTAGCAAAGGATAAGAATGCATATCTTCCATCTTCTCATGGGAAAAATAAAAAACTAGAACTCTTTCATTCTAATCTACCTCTCTCAATTTCTGCTCTCCATTATGATTCTTTATAGAATAAACGTATCTTGAAATTTATGTTTAGAGCTAATTTATTTGGAATCTGCTGAAATGGCAGAAGGGATAAAATTCAATAGGTGACATCCGTAAGAAATGTCCTCTTGCAAACAAAATTAAGGAAGACTGCTTTTCAACACGGAGTTTTATCACAGCTGCCAGGGTTCCCTAAGGGGAAGAAAGGTTCTGTAATAATTTCCATTTAGTATGGGGAGACATTTTAAGGACATTTTGAATTGTTCCTTAAAATAGATTGGAAATACGCAACATGTACTTTTACTGTACAAATACCAATACTGGCTAATCCTTAAAAACTTTCCAGAAATTAAGATACATATCCTATAGCAAAGTAATTTTTTCAATCAAGTATTTCTCTGTTAATTATAATAATGAAATTAATACTGGGGTTTTTTTGTTTGTTTTACCTTAATCCCTATGGCACACAAGTAAATTTTATTTTCATTCTTAGTCTCCTTTAAGATATATAAGCAGCCTCTTCCTCCTTTTTAGGAATCTCCTGATTGTATGACATTTTAACATGTGCCTGTAACTGTACCTCTATAACCTGTATAGTGGTATTAACAAATAAGAATTTGTGGTAAAAAGTATTCTCCTCATATTTTTAAAGTTCATTTGGACAATATGATGCATCAGAAATCTCTAACTGAGGAATTAATACATTACTGTGGTACAGAATCTGATACTGGATGGAAACCTATTTTAAAATGTCAGAATTTCCAGTGATTTCCAAATATCTCTTCAAGTATCTCATCCAAAGATGAATTATACTCTTAACTCATTTGTCTGAGAACTTTCATTACAATCATCACAGTTTAAACCTTTCTGATTTTGACTAAAACTTCATTTTTTCAATATTTTTGAGCTACTATCTGTTTCTTCCTATGTTTCAAGCCTATATAAGTTGATATTAATTTTCTTCTAAGCAGAAATAGGAAAACATGACCTAGGCATAATATACTAGGTTGCATGGGATCAACTTAATGCCTACTGTCTTTTTCACAGTGGCCCTAAACTGAGCTGAGAAGTGGGAGGAACAGATGTTATTAGCTGCACCTGAGGTCTCATAAGTGTTCTTATCATTGTGAACTGCTGTCACATTTAGGTGGGAAAAGGGGTTTAGTGACATAACTCTAGAGGACAGTGTGGCCAGTCATCAGTCTCTTGTATTTCTGCATTGCTTTGGCCAAACTGCATTTCTGTGGTCAAATAGGTTCTCGAAATGCTAGTGAAAGGTCCTGAAAAGATGGCTGAAGTTTCTGCCACTACTTTAAAAAATAATTGGGCCATTTAATTTGTACATAAAAAGTCAAGCTACATACCAATACAAAAACCTTGGAAGTCTGGATGCAGACACCCACCATACACTACAGGATGGAGACGTTAAAAGACATTAGCAAATGAGCAGAGGACTGCACAGCTTTGGGACCTGCCTATGACGGGCAGAATGAAAAACATGCAATCCCGAGTGGCACCAGCTGCAGGCAGAATGGTATGTCCTCACCAGAGGAAGGAGCTGACTGGCCTGCTCTGAGTTACAGCTTCGAAATGACAGGGACAAATCTGGAGAAGCTTTGGCATGGCAAACCAGAGAGACAAGGTAGTCTTATTCATGCAGGACTAGAGTCATGTCACGTTCTTCTCTTCAAGATAATCGTATTTTCTCCAGAGTATTTATTTTTCTAATCCATGTGTTCAGTATGAATTTTATTTAATCAAATTAGAGGGGTTTGGTTTGGTTTCTGAGAGGGTGGGAGTGCCTCTCCTTTCTTTGGAAGCCACCGAGGTAAAGGGCTCTGAAGTGGAGGATCAAGTCAGGGGACACTTCCTGAAGTGACAAAACTGTGGCAAAATCCATGAACAACCAGAAGTTCAGGGGAGAGAGAGGGAGCCCCAAGCTTGTTAAGCACCTCTATCTTATGAGCTGAAGGCCATACCAACTGACAAAGCTTTGGGAAAGACTGGGATCAGCAGAGATTGAGAAGGAGCAGCAATCACTGGCCTTCATAATATATATTTTCTGAGAGGATAGTTTGGGCACATATAATCAATTCTCTGCCACTTCAGGAGCCTCAGGAAAGGGGGTGTATTGATATCTCCCTGATTTAAGTCCTGGAAAAGCTGAGGAGTATAAGGGGTGTGAGAAGGAGAGAGTTTTTGGCTCTGCCAATTTACCACCCCTGAGGCAAAGGCATGTGGAGGTCCCACAAGCAGCAGTGGATCCCATATCCTCTTGCCACCAGGCAGACAGAAGGGGCCTAAGAGACGGAAGGGAATGGCAACAGGTCCCTGCTCGGAGAGGTAGAAGAATACCCTCCTGCCCTCCCTCTCCTCCACGGTTGCCCCTGCAGAACAGGTATGGGGCTCTGGAACTCGAGGGCCAGACAACTGGAGATGCAGAGGAAGGTCCATCCAGGGAGTTCCCCAGGATGACTCTGTCAGCCCCACACATTACAACGGCCTCCGTTAAGAAGGAGGGTCATCGTCATAGGTGATTCCCTTCTGAGAGGAACAGAGGGCCCAATATGCCAACCAGACCCATCTCACAAGGATGTCTGCTGCCTCCCTGGGGCCGGGTTAGGGACTTCACCAGGAAACTCACTGGTCTTGTACAGCCCTCGTACAAGTTATTACCTGCTACTGGTCATGCAGGTGGGCAGTGACAAGGCTGCAGACAGATAGTCATAATATTATTCTCGAAGACAACATTTATGAGCAAGAACATATTCCCACTTTTCCTGACTGGATTTGATTACTAAATCGGTATTATCTTTTCCAGTAGCTATAATGTCTGCTGGTTTGGGGGGACCATTGGGTCTTTGCACCCATACTTTTGGTCCATTGTTAAAAGTACTAGTAGATCCAAATCCTTTGTCACCTCATAGAGTTGTTATCTGCAGGGCTTGTCCCCTAATAATTATAGAAGCAGTAATCAATCATGAGCAGTAATCAACTATTTTCACTACAGCACCTCTCCAATGGGGAAAGACTGAAAGAATCGGGCTTGTTCAGCCTGGAGAAGAGAAGGCTCCGGGGAGACTTTATAGCACCTTCCAGTGCCTGACGGGGGTACAACGAAGGGAGGTTTACAAGGGCCTGTAGTGACAGGACAAGGGGTTACGGGTTTAAATTGAAAGAGGGTGAATTTAGGTTAGATATAAGGAAGAAATTCATCATGTAGAGGGTGGTGACACAGTGGAAGAGGTTGCCCAAAGAAGCTGTGGATGCCTCCTCCCTGGAAGTGTTCAAGGCCAGGTTGGATGAGGCTTGGAGCAACCTGGTCTAGTCGAAGGTGTCCCTGCCCTTGTCAGGGGGGTTGGAACTGGATGGTCTTTAAGGTCCTTTCCAACCTAAACCATTCTGTGATTTGCCACAACCACTATTATTAACTATTGTGTGCAGGCTAAAAATCCCTAAACATTATATTGAAAGACCACAACACATAAGAGTTTCTTTTCCTCCATTATGTCACTTGTGTATGTGACCAGTAACGTATTTACTTAAGGTTTCTGCAATAAGACACTGTAGACAGATAATGCTTTTGGGTACTCCACAAGAAAAAAATCATTTTTCAAACTAGAAAAAAAGCATATTTCTCTGGCCTATGACAGATTAGATAAAATGAATTCTTAAAAGCATGCTAAGCAACTGCAGCTGGTATGAAATGATTGGCCAAAGAGTTTTAAATTTAGTTACAACACAGGATGGAAAGCTCTTCTGAGACATCCCATAACACAGAAAAAAATAACAAAAAAACAAATCTCGTTTCAAAACAAATTAAAATGAAGGTTTAGAAGAGTATATGGAAACTCATCAGTGTATGTCTCATCAGTATTTCACGTCCAATTGAAAATGGATCACTGTAACTACAGCTTGAGAAACAAGCTACTTCCAAAATAGGGACATAACAGTTTCAGCAACAGTACAGCATAATGGCTCATCAAGTCTTGTGTTCTGCAGTGACTCAACAACATTTCTGATTATTTTCATATTTTTACATCCACTCGCATATCCACAGTGACAAATTTGGAAAATGAGGTAGTATAACAGCCAGAAAAAATCACATGTGGACCACTTGCATTATAAAGCTGGTCTTGCTTTAACAGCATCTTTCACTTATGTATTGCTCCTCTGGGCTTTTATGCAACACGCAATTTTAATTTCAATCACAGGTAATTTCAATCATGACTGCAAAAAGCCCAATATACAGTAGCATGAATTTACACATAATAGCATTGTCTAAGAGGCACAAACAGAAATACTCTGAATCTTGGCTTTACTCCTGCACCATGGATAATGCACAAACACTGCGCTTGTTTGATGCTGCTCAGAACTGTCAGGTCTATTGCTATGTTTTAACTCAAAGTATTGGATGTAGTGGTCCTGGAAACAGCGGAGCCGTGGTTGCTACACTCACCACCAGAACTTATGGGTTCTATATATGACCATTTCTGATAGCTCTGTATCCTTAAATCTGTGATCTCAATGAACAGCCAGCTTCCTTAACTTCCTTAACATTCCCCATTCAACAAGTGTATCCAAAACATTGCAATGGCAACCATTCAGTGAGAACCTGGGACTCCAAGGTGTTAACAATTAGAAAACAGTGAAAGTGGTAAAGTGCAGTAGTGATCTTGCATCAATACATACAAACTCCAGTTATTCAATCAAACAGCACTTTGAGAACTGCAGTTACTCAGCTACCATTTCTCCTGATCCTCCCTCTAGAACTATCATGGCAGTATACAAGAGAGATATTTAAATTTGTACTGTTTCTCCTTTAAAGCTACAAGTAGAGCCCCTGCTAGATCTTGCAAGCTGTGGAGAGTTTTTTCCCCAAGATTTTTTTTTTTTTTTAAATAAACACTATCTAGACATTCTACTTTACCCATATAAAGTTCTTTCAGGTTCCCTGCCTAGAAACAACGCTGCAGAGTAACTTATGTGCAAAGTCTATAGTGTCAAAACCCTATATTCAAAATCTCACACTAGCATCGCGTAAGTACGATTTTATCTATGAAATGTAATTTTATCAAGATACCTCAATAAATCTGGCTTTTTATCTATCTACTTTAATCTCTTCAGTGACACATGAGATGCCAAACATTAATTAGGCACTTGGTGTTACTATTCACCACAGTAATTTGTACTGCATTTTCTGTTTCTTTCTCCCATCTTCCTATTTATTGAGTTCACCTATTGTTCTGTCTTAGAAGAAAAGTCTATAACTTCTGCTTTCAGCAGAGAGGACTATCTTTATTTTTCTCTCTGTAGAAAAAAAGTGTGTCAGCTGGCTTTTGCAATGTTATCTCTTCCACATAAAATGAGGGTCTGTGATTTTTACAAGTCTAAAAATGGTAAACACTGCTGAGGTTCAGAATAACACCTAAAAATAAATACTCTAACATAATTTTCAAGCTCAGATTGATCTTGAATGATTAGGATATTTATGGAGAATAGGGGAATTGAGCTACTTAAGAAAGGGATTTCCAGACGACAGACAAATGTGAGAAGCTCTGTATTGTATTAAAGGATCTAATTCTAAGTCAGCCATTTAGGCTTAGCATATCCTAGCCACAGAAAAGGTCTCACTCTCTTTTTCTCTTTTCCTGCTGTCTCTCAGTACTTAATATCATGTTAAACCCGTGTATCTAGCTGTTTTTCAAGGGAGAAAATGCAGTGCTAGAGGAGAGGACTATTATCATGGCTCAGTTGCCTCAGGACTCTCTTAGCAAATCTCCATAGCTGGCAATATTCTGGCCCTTGGCCTGGCTGCTCATCAGTCACTAGTAAAGCAGAATTGTGTAGTCTACCTATGTATATACAGATGTGTTGGAATCAGAATATAAAATATCCACTTCCCAGATCTATGAATCATACATTGCAGGGCTCCACAAAGATTTATGCAGATTTGCTCAACCTTAGTTCAATTTTGCTAAGCTTTTAACCACTCTCTTTTCAGCAAATGTAAAATTCTTATTTTAAGTAAATAGCTTAATGTAATTTCATTAAGCTATATAATCATTAGGCCACAGTCCTCCCTACATCCATAAAATATTTCACCCAGAAAGTTAATTTTTCAGTGCTACACTACGACGGAGCAGATTAGGAACACAGTGGTCTTGACTGGGAAGCATTGGATATGTGACTGTCATGGCCATAAGCGCACTGGGCCTAAGATGAGGGCAGAAGTCTCAGCCACCCATTCTGTGGAGCTAAGTAAAGATATTTTTCCTCTGTCAGACACACCACTTTTTTATTATTATTATTTTTTGGGATGTGTGGGGTTTTTTCCCTTTGGTGGTTTTGGGTTTTTTTTTTTTCTCCTTAACTTGGTCAACGATGCTTACAAAAATACAAATCCAAGGGAAAAAAACATTCAGTATAATTCATCTGACACATCACTCAATCCTATTTCTGGCCTCTTCATAATCCCATCTCTTTTCTCTCCTTTTCTGTGGCTACCAAACCATTTGCAATGGTTTCATTCAGAATCTCTTTCCTTTTGTTAGTGTTCTATTGTCCACAGCTATTCCTCTCTTTCTCCTTAATTCAGACAAACCTGGCAAACTTCCAACTACATAAAACTAATCCACATAGAGCTAATATATTATTTATTGCTCCTCCTTTAGAACCGTGGTATTTCTGTGCTGTGTCTGTATAATAATTCAAGCCTGCTTGAGTACTCAGGAAAGAGACTCAGATCTCTTACCCCACCCTTCTCTGGAAATAAACCCAATGTACAAGTACTAAGCAACGTTTATTGACACGTCAGTTATGCATCTATTACCCATGCTTATGCTCCTTAGTTTTTCTTCCTAATTTGTTTGGAAGAAGAAAATGGTGCATGCTGAACTGTATATCTTGCTGATATGATAGCAAATACAATGGCTTTGCAAGAGGCCTTGATTTGGTTGATGTATTTCTGTCACTTCTTGCCACCATGATTTCTTGTGATGTATGAGAGAGCGAGTGCTACTGTCCAAGGCTGCTGAATTAAAACAACAAATGGCACAAAAAAGAAAACCTTAGGGTAAGGACCAGCTTACAGTAAGAATATGATTCTGACAAAGGCCAGTCAGAGCAGAACTTTTAGTTATATGGGGTGTGTGAACTGCTAAGTAAAAGGATTCATTATGTACATATCTTTTTGAAGATACTGAAAGAAAAACGTGGGGCAAAAATCCTGGCCTTTTTTTAAGTAAACACCAAAATTCCCATTCATTTTGTTAAACCAGGACTTTCTGCTTGAAGCAGAAATCAGTTTGGAAGCTGGGACTGCAGATGGCTGAGCCAGTATCTGGGACACAGATTTCAGGAGTGTAGATAGGATTCAGAAAACGCCATCAATCAGGAATATAAGTAATAACTGAGCTGGCAGATATAAAACTCCTGAGCTAAATTATGTCCTTTTAAAATGGGCCACCATAACTCTTTGTTTTCTAAATATTTTATTTCCTCAGTAGAATAAAAATTTCATACACCCACATTCACTATGACATCATGGGAAGAACTCATGGCCTGTTAAGAGAATTACTGTGAAAATCATGAAGTTCTGAAGACATTTCCGAGCACTTAATACGTCTAGAATAAAAATATTACAGTTTGACTTTCTCTGAAATTTATTTCCGTGTGCCTAACCCTGTTGTCACAGCATAATACACAATATTTAGGTAAGTATAGGATAAGATCATAAATGTGTGTTACGTAAATTTTGTTAATATAATAAATATTAATGTTGAATGATTAACTATAAAATGGATTACCAAAACGTCTATCAAATACTACTGGAAAGCATGACAAAAAACTTCATGCCACTTAAGAAATAAATAACTACATAACTTCCCATGTTAAATGTAGAACTAGGAAATGCATTCATTCAAATAAGGAAAAAATCTGTATTTTTTTGTTGTGAGAAACTGTTTCATGTGTACACTATTTACAGTAACAGCATTGCCTTCAGCCCCATTCATATGTGACTAATATGAGCATAGAGCAGAATTAGAAAAATCTAATGAGACAAGGTTAAAATCATTGAAAAAATCTACAGTTTGAAGGGTAAAAAAAATCAGTTTGTATAAGAGAAAAAAAGGTTCTATGGCATTTCTGTGAGAAAAAAAAAGAAATTTTGTTTTGCTTTGGTTAAATTAGTGAAAGTTACTTGATGTTCAGTATCTGGAAAAATTAGGCCCTTTTAATCAGCTTCCTAAAATTACCTAATCTCAAGTCCTCAATTTCTGTCTGAATGTCAGTCATCATACTTTTGAATTGAAACTGTTTGAATGGGGATAAAGGGAGAGTTTTAGCAGAATCTCCTACTGATAACCCACACTGATCTTATAATATTTTTACCAAATTCATTTGATTATTTAAAAAAAAAAAACCAAACTTAAAATTGAACCAAAAGATAAAGGAGATTTTATACAACAGAAGAGCAGGCCTTTTATTTGCATACAGCAGTATTTCCAAACAGTGAGTGGGATAACAAGTGTGATTGCACAGAGTAACTTTCCTATGTCATAAAGATTTGTGTTTCAGTCTTTTTTTTTTCTCTTATAAGGAACAAAGAGCTGCAGAGCTTATTGGCTTCTTAAATTTTCAGTTTTTCTGACCATTTTCTTTCCTGCAGATACTCCTGCTATAATGGGGACTTTACATATTAAAAAATCACTGGAGAGAAATCAAAACATTCATCTTTCATTAGATAACAACTGTATTTGACAGAATATAAATTCTTTAGAGGGTGTACTACATGTTGACAGTAAAAATATTCTATTTCTATTGAATATTTCTTCTGTGTTATAAAAAGGAAAGTTTACATGTATTGAAGTCCGATTTCACCTTGAGAGGCAGATGGGTTACTATCTCATCCAGATGTACATACCAAGTCTCTTGATCGTCATTCTCTCTTGGGTGTCATTTTGGATCAATATGGATGCAGCTCCAGCCAGAGTGGCTTTAGGCATAACAACTGTACTGACCATGACAACACAAAGCTCAGGTTCACGAGCATCTCTTCCAAAGGTAGGCAGAATTTCCTGTTTGTACCGCATTAGTACAAAGTCATAACGCCATGTGACAATTAAACAACTTCACTCAACCTTGTGTGTTTTACTTACTATAATTTAAGCATCTTTTAAAGGAAATAAAAAACTTCGATAAAAAAATATTTAGGGGTTTTTAGTCACCAATCAAATATATTCTAGTTCTCTCCTGTCTCAACTATTTAGCCAAGCACATACCTACCAAATTCCATAAACCTCAGCTAGTGATAAAAACAATGCTATTCACTACCACATGAATGCTGCTTAGAAAATGACTAGCTCACCCTTTCCCAGATCCCAGTATCTGATGACATGCTAGCAGATATGACTGAATTTCTAAAGGTCATAGATTCCAACCTGCCCTCAGTGATACTCCTTTCCTAAAACTTGCCTACATTATGAGTTAACTCACTAGCTACAAAAACATTTACATTAAAATATTAAAAAATCCGAAGATAAGTAGCTCCAAACAATTTTATAAAGAATGGTTTACGACACAATATAAATAGCTTAAAACAAATTACTATGATTATCTATTTAAGTTTTCTCTACTCGTCATTGCTTTAAAGATTTTCTTATTCATTTTAAAGGTTATCCCTTGTCCATCTTTGTGTCACTGCAATTAATAGAAATAAAATATATACAATAAGAATACATGACGTCCACTGCTGTATTAGTTTTAACATGGTATTTTTAAGTTGGTTAATTGATTTTTTTTCTAAGTAAAATAGATACCCCTAACAGCAGTAGGTGTTTTTTGCTCCTCAAATATATGGATCTGAATGCATCCAAATGTAAGACCAACAGATAAAATAAAATGCTATGAAAACTCAGAAAAGCAAGAATGTAGAAGTTTACGGAAGAGAGATACAGGTATTTTTTGTCACATTTCGTGAGGCCTGAAGCTAGCTCTGTTTGCTTATATGAAAAAGCTGTTATAAATCTGCACAGAGAGGGAACAGGAGCTACTTTCCTAGTTCAGATTATGTCCTGCAGCCGGGCTTGGCAATAAAGGATTGCAATGGGTTCATCTACTCTGTAATTGATTTTCAGTATTTGTACTGTCTCAGAATTGCAGGACTAATCTGAACTGTCTGAATATCTTTATTTTGCACACCTCTATTAGCAGGGAATGAACATGTCAGAGTCCTCCACCTATCTCCTTTCTTCGACTTAATTTCTATTCCAGGAATTTTTAATCAGATCCATTAGAATACAGGAATTCCACTGGTCCCACTGTAAGCTATCCTCTGGCTCCTTAGTATCATTCAGAGATCTTTGTGGGACAGATGGTGGAAGAGCATCTGCTCCTTGCGGATTACCTGGTTTTACGAGACAGTTTACACAGTACGCTATGATGAACTGTTAATGACATAAACAGTAAATACATTTTGCAAAAGACTACATTTTTAAAAATAGTATTTAACACATAGATTGAACTGCTTTCATGTTTACTATTACCTAGCTTTCATGTTTACTTTTGTTTGATAAAAGTAGTGTTGGCTGTTGACATATAAATGCACTTCCTCCTGATATGAAATGCTAAACTTCACATCTGTGGTTTTAACGTATTCAGCCTTCTGTTCTTTCCTCTCCACAGGTGTCATATGTCAAAGCGATTGACATCTGGATGGCTGTGTGTCTGCTCTTTGTATTTTCTGCACTTTTGGAATACGCAGCTGTAAACTTTGTGTCAAGGCAGCATAAAGAACTTCTGCGATTCCGACGTAAGAGGAAGAAGAACAAGGTAAAAGTAACAGTGTTCTCAACTTTGAAAGACAGGTCTAGATGAATTTATGCCAGGATTTAGGGTTAATTTGGTAAACATACTGCAGCTTAAAGTGGTAACATAACTAAAATGACAGCACAGAATGAAATTCACTATAGGCAGAGGGTGACTACAAGGACTATGCACTGCATAAATCCAAGTTGAATTCCCAGAAGAGGGATTAAGAGGGATTTAAATGAGGCATGGGCCATGTGGGAGCCATCTGCACTCTGTTAGAAGAGTCAGATTATACTTCAGTGGGTGAAAGTTACTGGTACTTGCCCCAGTTTGTACTGAACTGAGCTTCAAATAACAATGTTTCTTAATTTCATTATAGTGTTCAGTTCAAAGCCTTAAAAGCTGTGTATCATGTAAATATTTTTTAATATAAAAAGTATTTTTCAATTAATATATTGGTGGAAGAACAAAGATTTTACTTTAAAAGACTGAGAATCTGTGTTTTTGGTTTTTTCTTCTGTCATGTTAATTTAGTATAAATCGTTCATAAAATTAATAAGAGAATTTAATGCAGTAATGGTCATTAATATTTATTTTATAGCTGATGCTACTTAGACCACAGTAAACTAAGTCACTACCAATGTGCAAAGTCAAACAGCTAAGGCTACAGGTTTGAATTTTGAAGTCTGAAGTTAAACCAAGGAATAAGCAAAATTTCTGTCAACAATATGTAACTCCTACTTCTGATTTTTCAAAGAGTAAATATTCTAACAACCTATTCATTAACTGAGTACCCACTACTGAGTTCATGCAGTGCCTTTCCACTGGCTTTCAGTCACTATCTGGACTATTACTGTGGGTGGAAGTCTGACTGTAGTAACACAACTCACTTGAGCTGTCTTTTATTCCTGAAGACTGACCTCAATTTACTGTTTAAATCACAAGGAGAAGACATCTTAGAGGTTTTTTCCATTTTACTTAGAAGATAGTGAAAATCTGTAATCCTGGAAAGCCTACCTAAACCATCTCTGCTAGCAAGAGTCCTTGTTAAAAGGAAGGGTGGACAGTAAAATGAAAAGGACATTTTCATACTTTTGCCTGTTCCTGTGTGTCGAGCCCTAGACTTCTTCAAGTGCAGAGTGAAACTCATGTAATGTAGCCTAGGGGATGGTTCAGAACGCATGTACCTGTTTTCAACATTCATCCCTATGAAAAATGTGCTTTTTTCTTTTTGCTGACAGCAGCAGAAAAAAGTGCTTTGTGAGACACACAGGAGAAAAGCGGGATTTTTGTGACAGGGTGTTTGGGTTTGAAAAATAGCAGCTCTCTGAAAGATGCTCAAGGGTTGGGAATGGGATGAGCAGGATTACCAGGCAGGGGCAGGTGAGCCACAACAAATGTGTCATATATCAAATACAAACAGATGTGTTGAGTGGTATATTCTGTGACTGTACTTTTAGTCTGTTCTTTTTTTCACCATGTATTATAGTGTGGATCTGGATCTCAAGCAAGTTTTCTATATTCAACTTTACTGATATCTTTTCATTTCCCTAAAAACATGTCAATTATTACGCTTACAGGGTTAGAAACTGGCAGGTAGTATTACCCCCTTTCCTCAGAATCAAACCTATTCTCATTCCAGACCCCTCTTAGCAAAACCTCACGCTCACCAAAGGCACTTCTTCAGCATCACGATCAATCACATTTCAGCTTAGAGGTATGTGAGGAAGGATTCACAATGCACAAGACACTTCTAAGAGAAGACCACTTAACAAAAATGTATGCACATGAATAGTATCATTGGCTTAAGTGTTTTGCTGGATCAGTGCTTCACATCATGGTATTTTTGAATTCACAATTCAAAGTCCTCATTCTATTTTTACACATCATTAGAAAGTCTTCTAACTTCAGGTCAGTTGCCTGCTAGGTTCTCATAAGACAGGATTAGACTTAGAGACTGCAGTCTCTAAGTCAAGTATTCCCCTCAGATTCTGAAGGATGAAGATATGCATTTCAATGCTTTTCTTCATAACAGGTGAGGGTATTAACTGTATTTGGAGGTATGTAGCTTTCCCTTCCTCCTTGTATCTGTATGTTTCATCATAAGACAGGTTTCTCAGCCTAAATTTACCAAGAACTGCTTTGTTCCTATGCAAGGTTATAATTTTGACAAACAGATATTTTTCTGAAAAGATTAATTTAACTGAAGGTTTCCAGATTCACTCCAGTTCTACGTAGACCTAGAGCTCCTAGCCAGAGTTAACCCTTGAGAATACACCTTCTCAAGCTCTAGAGACAGCGCAGCTATTTGCTTCTCTTTTTCTCAATGTTTTATTTCATTTTGACCACAAAGTCAAAAGAAATTAAAAGATAGGTTAAAAAGCTGCATTTAAAATAAACTTCAGTGGCTTCCTTGAGCATTAAATCCTTTTACTTTTCAAAGTGAAAACTGATATTCTATTCAGTATTTATATCCAAATAGATTAGAGGAATAGATCAGTCAGGATAACTTATGAGACTTTTCCATCCCATATGCTTACCATCTTGGGACATTTTACTAGGATTAATTTTTTCTACCAGGTGAATTCCAACCAATGAATACAGACTATTTTTGGCACTGGCATTTTATCTGCAAGGGTACAGTAAAATTCCTAGTGATACGACTGTGTTGCAAAAGTCCACAAATTGATGGGTTTGGAAATGTTTGGTTGACAGAAGAGAACATGTATGAATAATATCTAATTGCAATAGGGCAGCTGAAGAATTTCCAAAGTCTGTTTTCTTTGTAATTTAAAAGATATGTTTGTTGCAAGAAATATTTACTTTTACCAATTAACCCCAGCATTGGTCAGATGATTGAATTCCAGTGCTGAAATGCCCCTGGGAGGTCAAAGAACCAAAGAACCAATTTTCCTGATCTAAGTCAGGATCAGTTATACCTAATTCATCCCAGTCATAAAAATTCCACAAGCTCCTCTGCGATCTATTCCAATGGTTTAGAAAGTTTTTTATTAATGTCTTTTTTTGGCCTTTCATGGCTTGTCTAGAAGGGGCACAGAGAACAGACTACTTCATTCCTTTATGTAGCCTTTTGCATGTTTCCTTTTGGTCATCTTTTTTTTAAATATTCCCAACTGGTAGTCTTTTTTTTTTTT